ATTTGTTCTTTTTATTTATGACCAAGTTCAAAAATTGTGTTATTTTTCCTTTAATACCCTACTCTGAAATTCATTTCTTTGAGAACATTATGTATAATTTTCCTGAATTTTCATTTTCATTTTACTTTTACTTTTGTCATTCCATATTCCTGACTCAACATTTAATTAAACTCATGCTATATACAAAGCACTGATATGGGTAAGATAAATAACACTACATCTTTACCCTTTAGTAAATTGGACAAATACTCCATGTCCCAAAAGATTGTCTACTTTGGTATATACCACATTCACAATGTATTAATTCAAATACTTCAGATAATTGATTGACTTGCTATGCTAAAACCTATATTCACCAAGTTCACATATCAAAAGGTCTAGTATATTTCATTTATATTTATGTAATATGCATTTGGAGAAAAGTTGTTCCTTTCTAGTAGAATCTATGGTTTTTTTCAGTATTCACTATTGAAATTATATAAAACCAGAGCTAGAAGGTATAAAATATTTGATATTCTGAAATTTCCATGTTATTATCCACATAAATATGGATACATTCACACACAATAATAAATGAATATAGTTAATTCAAAACCAGTTAGGGATTTAAACATATACCTAAATAACAGGATAATGGAGCCATCTAGTGGCTTCACAAAAATTGAGTTTCATGTAATTTTGTTACATTCCATCAAGTTTTACATAAATATAAGCTTGTCTGTTCAAATAGATATTTACAATTCTTATGGATTGTGGGTCAAAGTAATTTTGGAGCTGGGATAGTAGAGTAAATGTTTGACATTGTGAATCACCTGTAATATAGATTATATAGAGAAAAAATTTTAAAAAAAGAATTCTAGCAAGTGTTCCTCAACTTTTCAAATTATTTTAATGTCTAGTATGAAAACATTAGATACTTCACAAGCCATCTACTATGGAAAGAAAGAAAAAGTCAAGCTTTTGAAATGTTAAATATCTAATGAAATAACACTGCAATGTTGGGGCAAGCATTGTGGCTCAGAGGGTTAAGCCACCACTTATAAAGTCAGCAGCCCATGTTGGAGTGCAAGTTTGAGTCCCATCTGCTGCATTTCTGATCCATACATATATATGCATACATATATATGCATATAAAATAGATGTTTCATGATATCAAACATTTACTCTAGAACCAAGCTCCAAAATTCAAAATTCTTTTGGCTCCCTACTACCTCAAAATTCACTGATCTGAGGCTGGCATTGTGGTCTAACAAGTTAAGCTGCTTCTTGTAACACCGGCATCCCATACAGGTTCCAATTCGAATCCCAGCTGCTTTACTTCTAATCCAGCTCTCTGCTAATGTGCCTGAAAAACCAGGAGAAAATGACTCAAGTCCTAGAGTCCCTGCACCCATGTGGGAGAACTGGATGAAGCTCCTGGCTCCTGGCTTAGCCTGGCCAAGCTCTGGCTGGCCGTTGAGGTCCTTTGAGAAGAGAACCAGAAGATGCAAGACTCCACTCTCTGTAACTCTGCCCTTTAAATAAACAAAATGAATCTTAAAAAAAAAAAAGAAAATTGATCCTACTTGCCATATTTTCTTTTTTTTTTTTAAGATTTATTTTATTTTATTTGAAAGAGTTAGAGAGGTAAAGCCAGAGAGAGAGAGAGAGAGAGAGAGAGAGAGAGAGAAGTCTTCCATTCCACTGGTTCACTCCCCAAATGACTGCAACGGCCAGAGTTGAGCCGATCCAAAGCCGGAGCCTCTTCCGGGTCTCCCACACGGTTGCAGGGGTCCAAGCACTTGGGCCATCTTCCATTGCTTTCCCAGGCCACAGCAGAGAGCTGGATCAGAAGTGGAGCAGCCAGGACTAGAACCCGCACCCATATGAGATGCCAGCACCGCAGGGGCAGCTTTACCTGCTAAGCCCCACCACATTTTCAATGTCCCTCATGCTTCTCTTATATGAAAGTTCATGGAAGAATGGAATTAAAGGTAAGTTTGATTCAATGAAGATTTTTTTTGATTCAATGAAGCTTTTTAAACCCATGCAGGTGTTTTTGTTTGTTTGTTTTTTTGATAGGCAGAGTGGACAGTAAGAGAGAGAGAGAGACAGAGAGAAAGGTCTTCCTTTGCCGTTGGTTCACCCTCCAATGGCCGCCACGGCTGGCACACTGCAGCCGGCGCACCGCGCTGATCCCATGGCAGGAGCCAGGTGCTTCTCCTGGTCTCCCCTGGGGTGCAGGGCCCAAGCACTTGGGCCATCCTCCACTGCACTCCCTGGCCACAGCAGAGAGCTGGCCTGGAAGAGGGGCAACCGGGACAGAATCCGGCGCCCCGACCGGGACTAGAACCTGGTGTGCCGGCGCTGCAAGGCGGAGGATTAGCCTAGTGAGCCGCGGCGCCGGCTTATGCATTTTTTTCATAATACACATTCTCTGTGAATTTGTTGACGACTTCTTGTATGCATGAATATCGAAATTTTTTGCAGCAAAATGGATTTCTCTTATATGCATTCTTCTATGAACTTTTTGAAATATTTGTGTATTATCATTCCTTGCTGTAGACATAAATTCCATAGCAAATCTATATAACCATTTCCTTGCATGCCTTTCTCTTCTGTCAGTTCCACACTGCATCTATGAAGATGAGCTTGATATAGAAAAAAATACACCATCATGATAAAGATCTGAATTTAAATGCAGTAAAAGAACTCAAGTGAATCCCTCATGACTCAGAACCCAACTGTATTTCCAAGTCTACTGACACTATCTCCTAACCATACCTTTTGCTCATTCCTCAAATTCCCAACACTCTCTCTCCTATCCTCACTCCCAGTTGATGAAAAGAAAACAAAGTTATTGGAGAACATTCCAAAGTTCATTCACCTCCCAGACAGTACTCCTGTCTTTATACATGAACTGATTAAACTACTCTCTTTGGGTAACTTCTACCTTTGTTCACTAGATTCTATTTCATCTTCAATGCAAATCACCAAATCTCTCTTTCATCATCAATGATTCCATTTCTATTGAATCTTTCTCTTCAGAATACAAATATGCTTTAAGTTCTCTTATTATTTAAAAAAGAAACAAAAAACCTCTTGATCCCACATCCCTTTCCAGATACTGTTTTATTTCTTTTCCACTTTACAGTGTTATTCCTCAAGAGTAATCCACATCCAAGGTCTCTCATTATCTTCCCATTCTCTCTGAGACTGTACTTAACAAGGTCCCAAATAGCCTTCATATTGTAAGGTCAACCTTGAAAAAGTTTTTTAAAATTAGGAAATGATTTTAAATGATTTTAAATGAATCAATTATTCATGGTGCCCTAGCCATTTAACCCGATGGAAACACTGATTTAAAATCTTCAGTAAGATGTTATAGTTTAGCATAAATGAATAGTGTTATGGGCCCAATTGTGCTCCCCAAAATTCATATATTTAAGTTCTAATCCCTGTACCACTGAATGTGACTGTATAAGAGAAAAGGTCCTTAAAAATGGTAATTCAAGTTAAATGAGGTCATTAGAGTGTGCCCTAATCCAACGTGATTTTTACAAAGAGGTGATTGAGACAGACAAGTACTTAAGGAAAAAAGATAAAGGGAGACAGCTGACTTCTACAGTCCATCCAGGGATAGAGTCCGCAGAAGAAACAGCCTGCTCACCTCCACTCCCAGCCTCTAGAACTGTGACAAAATAACTTTGTTAAGCCAGCCATTCTGCAGTATTTTGTTCTGAAAGCCCGAGCAAACTGGTATAAAGGACTATTTAGCAATTTTAAATGATATGTTGTTGGGCCAAACTGCTTACTGTGATTCCGTATTTAAGCCTTTATCCTAGATAGTTCTTTTGGCCCATTAGTGAGAGGAAGTGAGTGAAGTGAGGTGTGGTGAGAGATACAGGGTGAAATATGGGGAGCCTCAGAAAATGCTCTTGTTCTTTCAAATTAAAATTTATCTCCTATAGGCTTATTCATTCTGATCCTTACCAAAACAGCACTTTATGCTGTAATTCAATTCCTTCCCCCCAAAAATTACATAATGTCTTCATGGAGTTTCTGTGAACACCTCCGGAGCCACTTTATTCGCTTGACATTTTCAAACCATTTTCCCTGAAAGCAACTGAGACAATTGCTGTCCCAGGTGGTCTGGCACTAAGGAAAAGCTGTACCCGGACTTTTTTTTTTTTTTTTTGTCGCAAACCCGGAGGGAAAGAAAAGTATAAAACGACGCTAGTGTCTAACATTACAACTTCTCCTCAACATTGGAAATTCCACTTCACAACGGCAGCAGCTCCACCCTTTCTGTAGTTGCACCTTGAAAAGTACAGCAGGGGAATGAAGGCCCGCGACACAGCAGCGTCCCAGAGCGGCCAGGTGAGGGCAACAAACTCCCGTCAGACCGCGACACGGGCCCTGCTAATTAGCGCTAACGTCCTTTCCTTTTTCTAATCTCGTGCTTTCGAAATCATTTGGTGACGGTGCAGTACTGTCAATACACCAAAGAGAGTAGACCAAAACCACAGGAAAACAAAAGCAGAGCCGCCGGAAACGCCGGCCCTTCGGGAGCAGCAATTCGAGCAGGAGGGGAAAAGAAAAAAAAAAAAAAAACTACTTCTGTATAAATGAACCTACTAAAAGGCTAAGAAGACAACCGTTTCGGTAATAAAGTGACTTCTGCCATAACTATTCTACACAAGAAACCACACAACTATCATCCTTTTCAGTCAGCAGGCAACCAAGAGCGTTAAGATCTCGCCGTCCCGCGATAACTTCACGGCGCTCACCTTATGCGCATGCGCCTGAAGTCGGCGCTCGGAAACTGGCTCAGACAATGACGACGGTAAGGGCAGAAAGAAGCCGAGAGAAGGGAGGGGCCACCAGGAAGGTGGTGGCCAATGGGAATGGTGGAGCCGAGGCGGACTGGGAGGGGTGGAGCGGAAGGGGAGGGCGTTGGGTCCCGCTCTTCCTTTCGCGTCCCCAGGAATACGTCATCAGCTCTATAAGAGGGCGTGAGCGCAACAACGCGGCCTTTTGCAGCCGGGAGCGGACGCGGTGGGTGCAAGTCAGCGTTTGTCTTGTGCGCTAAAATGATAGTTGGGACAGAACTTTTTCGCTTAATCAAAATGCAGGAATTCCAAGAGTCTCGTTATAGTGGTAGGTCAGGATCATTTTTGAAAACTTTGAGGCAGGCGAGCCCGAGCGGACTGAGGCGCTCGTTAGATGGCGGGGTGACCACGTGGAGCCCTGGAGTCTGAGCCCCAGCCAGCGCGGGCCGGGCGCCCTCGGAGATAGATTCGGCGCACCTGTTGACTGCGTGAAGGGCTGTTAGCTGCTCTGTCGGCGAGTCTAGTCTCGCTACGAATTAGTTCCAGAGCCCTCTGAGACCCGTCGCAGCGAGACCTAGCTGGTGAGTACCATCTCTAGTAGAAGTTGTGCTTGGTAATCGGCTCTGGACTGTGGATCTCCATGTGTCTTTGGGACCTGTCAGCCGTGGCAGTCTCCCTTCCTAGCCATGGAAGAGCATATTCTTGTTTATTGGCAAAGCTGTCACCATTTAATTGGTATCAGATTCTGACTTGCACAAGTAACATTCTTAAATGAAGAGATTTGGAAGGGTGCCTTGTTATTGGGTACACTTTTCTAAACTTGTTCAAAATCTTTCTAGGAACTTGAACTAGATTGTTCGATGGGTGATGAAGAACGTTAAAAAAGGTACGTTTCCACATACCCATATTTCTAGCTTAATCGGACTCTTGCCTCTGAGATATCAGCAATAGCCTCTGAATAGAAATTGGGATTAGCTGCTAAGGTGTCAGGACAGTGAGGGAAGGATGGAGACCTGAGTTTTACATTACTGGTTTTCTTTTGCAGATGCCAAGAAGTCCAAAGAGATAAAGGTGAATAATGGCAGCGTCCTGCAGTGGATCACCAAACTTATTGCTGGACAGAATGAGTGTTTAGAATGGTTTTTTTTTTTTTTTTTTTAGAAACTGGTACTGTGTTTTCAATGTAGCACCTCAATTTGAAGGTGCTTCTTTGATGCAATGAAATAAAATGCTTAATTTTTGTAGGTAATCAGTGTTGCTTGACTGAATTGTAGGTGGGAAAGAAATTTAAAAATAGTAATCGGTACCTTCTGCTTGTGGTTTAGCAGAGGTTATTACAGCACTAGGAAAAAAGTAATGTATGTAAAACTACCAAGTTACCCCCAAGAGAGCAGTTTTCCTATGCCAGGCAAAAGATACTGCGACCACACAAGGTAGAAAGTAATACTTTATTACACAAATATGCACTGAAAACTTGGACTTAAAGATCCAAGTCATACTTGAGACCAACATGGTTATAATAAAGGCATGTTTTATGAACGTTGTGATAGCTCAGGATTGAGTGAATTGCAGGTTGCTTGTTTGCTGCCCTTTTTTTGGTGTGCAAATCCCTGATCTATTTAGAATTTCCACAGAAGTGTATGTCACACCATGACTAGTTAGAAGGGCAGACAGAAACTTAAGGTGAAAGTAATGGTTTCACCTATATTGCACATTCCCCAAGCCCTTGATATAAGTGCATTGTACACAAATGTAGCTTTACCATATTTGAATGTAAATGCTGTTTGATTAAAAAGTTTCTTTCATCAAAATCATGGTTCTTAAAAAAATGTTACTCCTGCACACAGCATCTTAAGTCTATAAAGTAGTACCCACAGGTTTGTGTGGTACTTATTACAAAAACGGAAGGACAGGATTCGATTAAGAAAATGGAAACCTTAATGGTGTCCAGCCATTTAAGGGGGTTATTTACAACTGCACTGCTTTGTATATTAACCTCTTATTAAGCTACTTGGGTGTTTGGGGAAGGATCTCTTAACAGCAATAATTTACCCATTGGCATTATATAAGAATGTCCTGAGCCGGCGCCGTGGCTCAATAGGCTAATCCTCCACCTTGCGGCGCCGGCACACCGGGTTCGAGTCCCGGTTGGGGCGCCGGATTCTGTCCCGGTTGCCCCTCTTCCAGGCCAGCTCTCTGCTGTGGCCAGGGAGTGCAGTGGAGGATGGCCCAGGTGCTTGGGCCCTGCACCCCATGGGAGACCAGGAAAAGCACCTGGCTCCTGGCTCCTGCCAGGATCAGCGCGGTGCGCCGGCTGCAGCGGCGGCCATTGGAGGGTGAACCAACGGCAAAAAGGAAGACCTTTCTCTCTGTCTCTCTCTCTCACTGTCCACTCTGCCTGTAAAAAAAAAAAAAAAAAAAAAAAAAAAAAAGAATGTCCTGTTTCCCAGGCAGCTATTCAAATAGAAAGCTAGGTGGCTTAACCATGGAGGGGAAAACCTACACCATGAACACTAGGACAACTATTCCCCAGTGGTATGCCCTGCAACTCGGCCTGTTAACTGTAAGAAAGCCAGGGCTTTAGGCTTAGCATTTTGTAATTTCTGAGTTACACAGCAACTTAATGTGCCTGCCAAGTTTTATTACTGGTTTGTGCATTTATACTAGTTAACAGGATTTCTGTGGGGTTAGTCTTGGGAAACTTCCTACATAGGTAAATTACCAAAAAGTTACACTAGGTGGTGCCATTGCACCATAACTACATGACACTTGGGGAAGTTAGTAATTACTGGAAGTCAAATGGTTCATCAAAGTGATCAGAGTAGGTATTTTTGATGGGTTGTAAATCTAACTGGCATCTCATGTTAAATCCTAGATTTTACACAGTCTAGGAACTGTTTAAGAAGGCTTAGATGAAAATTAAGAATTTAGTCTCAGGTGGAATTTGGTTAAGAAACAATGCTAATGGATAATCAGTGTTACACTGAAGTATGCATGATCAAAAACTTCACAAATTCTGAAGCCACAAAAGGTGTACCAGTTTCATCAATAGCAGAAAGCAGAAACAATTTCAGTCCCCAGTAGTTGTCAACTTGGCACATAAGTATTGGAGACTAGAAGTTCCACATCAGTCTATGCACTATGTCCTGTTGAGGTTTTCCACAGCTTAAAGTTTGGTGACACTTTTTATCCAAGGGACAAAGGATGAGACTCTGGTGTAAACTCCAGGAGAATCCTTGACTCCACAGCCATACCCCCAGGAGGTCACCCCATATACCACCCAGCTCCCCCCAGACCTTTCACACACGAGTGGTCCTCCGCTGTCTCCTTGGCAGCTGTCCACACGTTGGTGTTCATGGAGGTTTCCAGCACACAGCATTCTTCCTGTGAACTGGCCTTTATATCGTTCTTCACAAAATCTCTTGGGAAGTAAGGGGACGGCTGCTTGCTGTAGTGTTCTTGAATAGGCTCGTCCTACTCAAACCAAATATCTGAGTTAGTCAGGAGATTCCAGCTACAGATCATAACACTTAACAGTGGTCTTTCAGTAGTCTTGAAAATAAAATCCTTTGTAACAACAGTGTAGTTTTAAAATTGGCAACAACCCTAAGTGGCATAGAATGTTGGTCTTTTTGAATGTTGACACTACTCCACTGTTAAATTTATGTCCCAGTAGTGAATTCCTTGGCTTTTTAAAAAATGTAACCTAAAGAAAACATCTGTGCTGGCTTTAATATTTCAATTCTGCATATTAAAGTTAGAATGTACTCATGCTGGTTTTGCATTAGCACATCCATTCCTCTAAGATCTTTGACTTCACTGAGTATGAGAATTGTAAATAATTATGAATAAGCACTGAAGTGGCGATTGCTGCCCTAAATATTCTATAAGAAAATAAAACATACATTCTTGCGCAAAACAGTCAGATTTTACCACCTGAAAAGTGTACTCAATTTGCTGGTAAGCCACTCATTCCTTGTTCAATGACAAAACTGTATAATTGATATGTCCTCCTTTATAGCATTTCCTTGGCTATTGAGTCCAATAACAATAAGGAAAGTATAAAATTCACTTCCTTATTCATCTAGAAATTCAGATTTGATACAGAAAAGTGAATGCACATTTAATCAGTTCTATTAGACCGGCATTCCTGGAGACTTCACAGTTTGCCATCAAGCCATATACCCTGCCTGCCCAAATCATTCAGGAAATGTTTCTTTAAAAACAAACAAAAATCACAGTTTATCTCTATAGATCTCCAATGTTTTCTTAGTGTTCTACACATATTCTACATTTTGCTATAATGAAATAGCTTGAGCCTAGAGTCCAACAGGGTGAAATAAATACAGGTACAGTCACTAAGTAAGCTCCTGTGGTAATTACTACCTGTAAAAATATACTTATTTGATGCTTTTCAGAAACACAATTACCATTGTACTTTCTTAGTGGAGAGCAATCAGCTTTTCACTTCCCATTTAATAGTCATTTTTTTTTTTTATTTGAACACCTCGAAGTGAGACCTTAGGCCATTGTTTCAAGGCCCGTCACAAGCATTAGCTCATAGACACTGATGTATCACCTAGGACAATGTAAAAAGCTGCATTCATCTTAGAGCATAAGGTAAACATCACTCTTGGCTGGGGACTGCAAGGTATGGGAAGGGAGGATAAAAGGGAAACTTCAGTTTCTCTTCAACTTCAGCCTCAGCAGCTCTACTTTTACGTGCTCTATACTTAGGAATCCTTCATACAATCAGTTTGAGTAAAGACTTCATGGCAGAGAAACAGACTAAATACCAGAGCCTTTTGGAGTAGACACTGCCAGGCCTAGTTTTTGGGATAAGGTCTTCAAATCTCCCTCCAGCATCTTGCTTAAGCTTGTCATAGTTGGTCTCTCTCTCTTGGTAACTAAAATTAATTGGGGATTGTTCACCCCTAAGCTCCACAGGCAACTCAGTTCCTCAGTTTGTGCTGAAGTTCTAGTTGGAACCAACAGTACACACCCCCCCCCAATGTTATGAGTCCATATTACATGTGTGCATTTCACACTTGGCAGAATGTCCAAATAATTAAACCTGTACCCATTTCAGAAGTTATCTATTGCATTTGTGTGGATAATTCTAGACAAAGGTGTCTAGCTTCCCTCATTTGTTCTTTTGTTGCTATTACCTGTGTCTCCCCATCCTGTTATGTAACAATTGGAGGCTGTTTTCTGTGGCCTCTCTCTCCAGAATGGTAAACAGGCTGGCAAAACGTGGCTACTGAATCTGACACATTGCTCTTGTGATCCTTGTAATTGAACCAGGGCAATGTCATAGTCACTGCTGTGTGGTTGGTACTCCTTGTGAATCACAATCTGCTGAACTCCAATTTCTTCTTCAAACTCTTCTGGTACCAGAGTATGATAATCCCCGACCCGAACAGCATAGTTCCTGGTGTTGTTCCCATACCTGAGAGGCAGAGAGAGCCAGTGAGAGGTGTGTTTTGGAAATTGGTGACTGTCAGGAAAGTAAATGAAGATAAAATTTTCCAAGCCTTTCTTCCAAATCAGTAGCCCCTTTTGCAAATTTAACATTTCCATTTCTCTGACCCACCACTCCCAGTCTTCTACTCGAAATTGATTGTGACCATACTTCATCTTCATTTCACTGTAACCCATGTTACCAGCCAACTATTTTCTGAGAAGAAACAAATGTTGAGTAAGTGGAAAAAGGGGGATAATTTCATTTTTTTAAAACTTTTATTTAATGAATATAAATTTCCAAAGCACAGCTTATGGATTACAATGGCTTCCCCCCCATAACTTCCCTCCCACCGGCAACCCTCCCCTTTCCCGCTCCCTCTCCCTTTCCATTGACATCAAGATTCATTTTCAATTCTCTTTATATACAGAAGATCAGTTTAGCATATATTAAGTAAAGATTTCAACACTTTGCACCCACATAGAAACACAAAGTGAAAAATACTGTTTGAGTACTAGTTATATCATTAAATCACAATGTACAGCACATTAAGGACAGAGATCCTACATGAGTAAGTGCACAGTGACTCCTGTTGTTGACTTAACAAATTGACACTCTTGTTAATGACATCAGTAATCACCCTAGGCTCTTGTCATGAGTTGCCAAGGCTATGGAAGCCCCCTGAGTTCACCGACTGATCATATTTAGGCAAGGTCGTAGTCAGAATGGAAGTTCTTTCCTCCCTTAAGAGAAAGGTACCTCCTTCTTTGATGACCTGTTCTTTCCACTGGGATCTCATTCGCGGAGATCTTTCATTTAGGTCATTTTTTTTTTCCAGAGTGTCTTGGCTTTCCATGCCTGAAATACTCTCATGGGCTTTTCAGGCGGATCCACATGCCTTAAGGGCTGATTCTGAGGCCGGAGTGTAAAATTGTCATTTCAAACTATTAATATTTTCCGTTTTTGATTTTCTCAACTTTCCCAGTTAGTTGCCCATGAAGTTCCATAAGGGCAGAAACCATGTCTGATCTTGTGTCACTCGGAGCACTTCTTTGTTTTTTTTTTTTGTTTTTTTTTTTGTTTTTTTTTTTGACAGGCAGAGTGGACAGTGAGAGAGAGAGACAGAGAGAGAAAGGTCTTCCTTTGCCGCTGGTTCACCCTCCAATGGCCGCCGCTGCAGCCGGCGCACCGCGCTGATCCTGGCAGGAGCCAGGAGCCAGGTGCTTTTCCTGGTCTCCCATGGGGTGCAGGGCCCAAGCACCTGGGCCATCCTCCACTGCACTCCCTGGCCATAGCAGAGAGCTGGCCTGGAAGAGGGGCAACCGGGACAGAATCCGGTGCCCCAACCGGGACTAGAACCCGGTGTGCCGGCGCCGCAAGGTGGAGGATTAGCCTATTGAGCCACGGCGCCGGCTCGGAGCACTTCTTTGTAGATACACCCATTTACCCCCCTTCTTGTGAACTGAATGCAAACTCAAATCATATTTTCAAGTCAACATATAGTCAATGTATTCTTTCCCCTCTTTTAAATCCATATTTGGATGTCACTTTAAGGAAGCCTACTCTGATACCTTCATATTGAAAATTTCAACCCACTTTTTTGTCCTCCCATCCCCAGCACTACCAATATTCTTAATCTCTACATTTCCTTTTTTATGAACTTATTATTTTCTAACAAATCGCTATTTGTTGTATTTATCGTTCTGTCTCCCTCTGCTTGAATGAAAGGTATCCTAGGTCAGAGATCTTACCTGTGGTTTTTGCTAAGGAATCTTTAAAGAGAATAATGATGACTTTCTTAACAGGAAGGCAGTACGTATTTGTTGACTTATTGAATGAATGCATGTCTAGTGTGTATTTTTCTATGACAACCTATATTGTTTTAAACACAATATTTACTACCTGATAGCTTTCAGACTCTTTTTCACTCCTTCATTGTCATGCCTCTAGACACTGTCAAATGTTCCTGGTGACACATCATGGGGTATTCAAAATTTCCCCATCTGAGAACAACTGAGCTAGAAGATGTAACAGCCCATGTCGTGGTTACTGCCTTATTCTTGTGGAAAATTATAGCATCTTGTTCATGTCTTGCCCCTCTACCACTACTTAAAACATTTTGTAATTTCCTAAACTTTTCCCTTTTAGTTCCCTGATTTATATTTTACTCTTCTGCAATAAATGTATTCTCCACCTCATCTTGGCCACATACCCCCAACATGACACCTACACCTATGTTCATCATATACTACACAGTTCTGAAATTTTGATAGCAAGCATGTCATACTTGGCCTATCACATTTTATCTTACAGTATTTATTGATTTACTTATTTGGAAGGCAGAGTGATCGGAAGAAGGAATGCGGAGAACAGAGAGAGTTCTTCCATCTGCTGGTTCACTCTCCAAATGACTGCAATAGCCGGGCCTGGGCCAAGCTGAAGCCACTAGCACAGAACTCCTTCTTGGTCTCCCCACATAGGTGGCAGGGACCCAAGTACTTAGGCTGTCTTCTGCTGCCTTTCAGGGCACATTAGCAGGAAGCTGGATGAGAAGTGGGGCATGTGGAACTCAAACCAGCACTCCAATGTGGGATGCCACAGTCACAAATGGTGGCATAAGCCATTGCACCATGGCACCCACCCCTGTTAGAGCTATACATACCTTCAACCTCACTGGACTTAAAAATCTTTGGTCCCTCTAGTTTCTGTTTGTGTCTTTGTTTTTTAAATTTCAATCTCACTGTGCTTATGACCTCCTTTCATATCTGGTTTGGAGTCCACCATCCATTACCACAATCACTTATTTTTTGCAAAAGCTTTCAAGTCTTCTTTTCCTTTTGCATACCAAAACTCCAACCTGTTTTGTTAACTCCCCACCTGATTTGTGTTGGCATCTGACTGTTGAAGGGAAGCAGCATACATTTAACAAACCTCACCTTAGTTTTTTGACCAAAAATTGAGTCTTCCACTATTGTAAGGCCTATGTTTGAATGTATGTTTAGAGAAGTTAGTGTTCAAAGGCTCAGAATCTTCTACTGACTGCCTATTTAAAATATATCTTCCCACTTACTCCAATAATATTACTGGAGGGGATATGAACTGCCTGAACATTCTAATAGCCCTAATATACCTTAAGCTTACATTACATCCTAAAAATGTAAAAAGTAATACTGGCAGCCTTGGAGAATAATCAAGTATTTAAATAATTCACTTTCATTTCCATGCACTAATATTATTAGCATATTATAAAAATTTAGAGTGACCTATTAATATTCAGATATTTCTTTATAATATTGCAAAAATGCACTTAATATAAAATCATTAAGACATTTAGATTTTGTAAAGACAATATATTTAGTATTCTTTTTTCATAGTGAGAATTAGCTGGGTGTATGTTATCCTTTTAGCACATTTTAAGTGCTCCAATATCCTTGTAGCTAGTGGCTACTATATTCAAGCTACTATATTCAAGCAACTCCAGATAATTTCTTAAATCCCATTCCAACAATTCAGCAACACTTTCACAAAAAAATGTATTGCAATTATTCTTGTAACAGAGCTTTAATGAATGTATGTTAGGGACTTTTAAAATTATTTATGAATTTATTTATTTGAAAGAGCAGTAGCAGATGGGAAAGGGTATTTTCCATCCACTGATTCACTCCCAAGATTGCGTTAACAGCCAGAAAACTCCATTTGGGTCTCCCACATGAGTGCTGGGGGCACAAGCACTTGGACCATCTGCTGCCGCCTTCACAGGCACAGTAACAGGAAGCTGTCTTGGAAGCGGGACAACAAGGACTCAAACTAGCATCTTACTGTGGGAAGCCCACATTGCAAGCGTCAGCTTAACCCACTGGCCCATAATGTTGAATTGTAAATGACTTATTTTTTAAAACATGCATGTCCTCATACATACTTGCACTCCTATACTCTAATCTCCAACTTACTGAACTCAAACACGTACCTTCTTACCAATTCCCATATTATAACAAAGCTATCAGAGAAGTTTCTATTTCATAAAAAAAAATCCCAATAAAGGTAAAAACCTGCTCGTTTAATGCTAGCTGTTGGTCTTCCAGGGTCACCTCTCCTAGTGGGAGCTATCCTTAGGGATAACACTTTGAATGAATTCACAATTCATGGACTAGAAAAAAACACTTATTATGGTTCAAGAAAACATATACAGACAGGATAGGCATTTGGCCCAGCAGATAAGGTCCCACTTGGAACACCCACATCCCATATTGGAATGAGTCCTAGCTTTCCTCCTGCCTGATTCCAGCTTCCTGTTAATGCACATCCTGGAAAGCAGGGATGATGGCTCATGTGCTTGGGTCCTCGCCACCTATGTGAAAGACGTAGACTAAGTTCCAGGCTCACAACTTCAGCCTGAACCAGCCCTGACAGTTGCAAAAATACAGAAAGTGAACCACAGGGTGGGAGAGCTCTCTGTTTCTCCTTTCCTCCTTCTCTGTCTCTCCCATCTCTCTCCTCTCACTTCTCTATCTCTCTCTCTCTCTCTCTCTCTCGCCCTCTCTCCCCGTTCCTCCACTCCTCCCTTCTTCTTACCTCCCTCTCAAGTAAATTCTCAAAGGAATTCTCTTTTTGATTGTATTTTAAGGTCTTTCTAGTTGAACTCTTGTTATTTTTAATATATTTTATTATATTCAAAAAGTGGCTCAAATATTTCAGCTTTTGGCTGACACATAATTCAGTTGTTTGCTTTACTGATTTCAACTTCCCCTCATATAAAAATTGGATGAAATCCCCAAACTTGAGTAAGAAAGGACTGAGACACAGCAGTTTAGTAAAATCCAATATCCTAGTTCCTCTGATAGTCTAGGGTTAAAGTAAACAAAAGTAAAAAAGTTAATAGAATTTAAAATAGAATAATTAATTTAGGCCAAAGGTCATATTCTTTGTGTTTGTACTCTACATGGATTCATCTCTATGAGAAAACAATATTTTATGTCAGCATGTTCACA